TGGGTGGTGGGGACAGCAAGGTGTCACCAAGCTGGACACTGAGCCAGATACGTGCCCGTGGGGTGAGAGCTTGGAAACACACAGGGAAGGATTTTGGAGGGGGGTGCAGCCAGGTCCCCCCCACTATGGGTGCACAGTGGGGTGACCCCAGGCACTGCTGAGCCGGACGGGGGGTCTGTCCTATGTTACACCCCAAATCCTTACCCCGCTCCCCACCCTCTGTGTGGCTGTGTCCCAAGGGCCACGTCACTGCTGGATCCATCCCGAGATCCCTGTGTGGGCTGGTGCAAGGTGCTGTACCTGTGAAGGGGCTGGGGGCGGGGACAGAGCGAGTGCAGGGGGGTGATGTGGGGTCCCCGCCCAGAGCCCCATTCCCTGATGCCACATCCCCCAGTTCCTGCGGGAGGAGTATTACCAGGGCCGGTACTGCGCCGTCTGGCAGAACATCACCCGTTGGGCACAGAAGAAGAACGTCTACACCCTTTGGGTGACCAACTCCAGCTGTGGGGTGGCCCCCGTCCACTATGAGATGCGGGGCTACAACAGCTTGCTGGGCTCCCACTACGACAAGTACGAGATCTCCTACATCGAATTTGACAACAGCTTCCCCCCCTCCATCTTCGACCCCCCCATCAACGGTGAGTTGGGTTGGGACCCCCCATCCTGCCCACAAGGCTTTGACATGATGGCACCCCCCTCGTTGCTCCCCAGAGACAAAGAAGTGTGGGGACCTGCCGGGGAATGCAGTGGAGCACCGGGTGTTGGCAAACCCCATGGAGGACTTGGTGGGACGGCACCAACCATGGGCCCATGAGGTTTTCCATCACTACCGTAGGCAGTTGGGGTGGCGATACGGCTCCGTGCGGGAGCTGGAGCACAGGCAGAGCATCTTCGTGCACAACATGAGGTACAGGCAGATCAGGGGGGTGAAGTCAACCCCCACTTTGGGGAGTTCTCTTCATCCTTGGGGAGCTGCGTTGGTGCCACAGTGGGAGGTGACATTGGTGACAGTTGATGGTGGCAGGTTCGTGCACTCGAGGAACCGCGCCGCGCTCTCCTACACACTGGCGCTGAACCACCTGGCCGACCGCACGCCCCAGGAACTGGCTGCTCTGCGGGGCCGTCGCCGGAGCGGGGCTCCCAACAACGGGCAGCCCTTCCCCACCCAGCTCTACACCGGCCTCATCCTGCCCGAGAGCCTGGACTGGCGCATGTACGGTGGGTGTGGGGTCAGGGACACGGTGGGGGTCTCACCGTTGGGGTGGTGTGAGGCTGTGACATGGAGGGTGTGAGTTCTCCTCATCCTGGCCAATGCAAAGTCCAGCTGAGGTGCCACCTCCTTCCCTGTCACCACATTGGGGAGCCCGTGTGGCTGTGCTGTCCCTTGGGACCCCCATCTCCCTGAGGACCCCACTCTGCTCCGTGGCTGGAAGATGCAGGAAGGGCTCATCCAACAAGGGGCAGCTTGGCTGGCACTTGACCCTTGATCAGTTTGGTGACCCAGATGTGAGGTGGTGCTACATCTGGCATCCACTTGTGTCCCTGTCAGCTGGGAGTGGCACCCCCAGAGCTTGCCCCAGCCCAAGGGCAGGGTTCCCACAGGTTTGCTGGTCCATTTGCCCCCCACCCC